AATTTAAAAATATTACTGATAGTTTTATTGTAAGTTTTTATTCGATTTTTTCAATTATTCTTATGTTTTAAAGATGATTCAAGATAATCGTTAATATAAATAATAATAATTGAAAAACATTTGATTAACATATATAAAAAAAAATATATATATATATGGTTATTTTGATAGTTAAAAAGAAATTTTTTTTATTATATCATTTTTTTAATCAGAGTAACTTTTTGTTATTTCTTAGTTTTTTAATTTATGTTTAAGGGTCTTGAGCAACCCATAAATATAATTGTTTTAAACTGATTTTTTTAATATCATTTTATTTTATTAAGGGCTAATAGTGAAAATTTTTAAAAAAATGTTTTTTTTGTTTTGTTTTTTGTTTTATTTTCATTTTCTAGTTATTTTTATTGTGTTGCCTTTCAAAGTTTTTTAGTAAATTTTTGTTTATTTAATTAAATAAAAATTCTTTTGTTTGAGCTTTATAATAAAAAGTTAAAAAAAAAATCTAAAAAAGAAATGTTTTTGTTTAGAATATTAATACAAAATGAAATTGGTTTTATGTGTAGCATTGTATTTTGTCATTTCTAATGTTGTTTCATCAAATGTAGGTAAGTAATGCGAAAAGTTTTTTAACACTATATATTTTTGTTTTTATGGAAATTTCTTGTAGTTTTTGTTATATATATATATATATATATATATATATATATATATATATATATATATATATGTATGTATGTATATGTACATGTATATGTATGGATATATCCATAATTACATTTATACATACATACATACATACTAGGGTGTCCCTTATATGAGTGAATTTTTTTGGATTTTGAAATGCATACCCCTATTTCTATTTAAACTATCTAGACTTACTTAAATACAAAATTTTATTTTTGTATTTAACTCTAAAAATGTAACTATGTAGCTAAAACAGTTGAAACACTTATATTTTATAAAATATTTATTAAAAGAACATAAAATTACAGATAAAGCAGGTTATTTTCTTTTAATGACCAAATAATGTAACAAAATCTAGATATCAGGTGCAATTAAAATAAGTCTCAAATATAGATTTATTTAACGTTACATGATGCCTCAGTTTACACTTTTTAAAAGTTGCACTTTTATAAGTTTAAAAAAAACCCAATTAAGACGTAACTTTGATAATTTTTTTTTTGTGTAACAAATTAGTAAAAAAAGAAAAAAAAAAATTAAAGTAACCAATATATATTTTAATTGCAAAATTAATTAACTTAATTGATTAAATTAATTAACTTAATTGATTTATTTGCAAAATTTTATCTTCCTATGACAAATTTAACACACGCCGAAAGAATTCTGAAGATTTTAAAAATTGCTGTTTTTAACCCTTCTCGTTAAGTAGCTAAATGAATTGAAACACTTATATTTTATTAAATATTTATTCCAAGAATATTAAATTACAGATCAAGCAGGATATTTTTATTTAAGGGTTTCTTTTTTACAGTCTGTATATAGATTCAAAATTGATCTCTAGTATAGAGAACTTTCAATTTTTGTTTTCATTGATTATGCTTTTATCATTTGTTGTAATACCAATTTCCTGACATTTAGGTGTGTATCCGATATCATAGCAAAAAGCATGTTTTCTGGATGGGCAAAAAAAGCATTGTAAAAAAAGCAAGGTACAGCCTTCAGCCTACAGTATATAGGCAGAATCCTTTATGCTTAAAATGCAATAAAGTTCTTCCTTCCTCTTTTTGTTGTAGGTTCATAACTTACCATTTAAAAAGGTTGGTGGTAAGAGTTCCTCAAGGATTTCATTGGTGCTGGTGTGTTGATTGTGATGTTTTTGCGTTCAATTAAATAATTCATATAAACAATTAAATATTTCGTTCAGTATAAAATCTTGTGCAGTAAGAGATGACGATAAACTTTGTATTTTTATCCATTCTAAAGCATCAGCATGTGCTATATCAAATGAATTAACTAGATTGTTTCCAAAGTCCTCCTCTCCGTGCTTGTAAACATCTTTTTTTTGGAAATTTTTTACAACTCTCTCCAAACATGGTGAAGATCTACAAGTTTTTTTTACACATTTATAGCTCTGGTAGAGGTTCTAGCTTTTTCCCAAAATAAAATACATTTTTAAATGGCAAGATTAAGTCACCAATTGAGAAAATTTTTTTTATTGCCTTTTAATTTCACTGCCGTTTCTTAAAAATAAAGCAATAAGCGTTTTATTTTTTTGTAAAAATGTATAAAAACTGCTGATTTGCTTGAAGCGATTTTTACAATGTCATAAAATTGATTATAGCTATGTATTTACAATTATTATAAGTAGATGTTCTTTATGTATGTCTGTGTTCTGTCTGAACCTCTGGCGCGGTGTTCGCTCACCTGTAAGTTACTTTATGTTTTTGTTTATGTTTTTTATGTTTTTTTATGTATGTTTGTGTTCTGTCTGAACCTCTGGCGCGGTGTTGACTCACCCATAAGTTGATTTATGTTTATGTTTGTGTTCTGTTTATACTTTAATGCAGCGTGAGCTCAGTAACTAACTACTTACTCCAACTACAAAACCTACACTCACCTTAGACTCCTGTATTTTGTTAGATGCAGTGTTTTTCCTAATGCACTTCCAAAATGTCATGCCTGGTTTTCTCAAAGTACTGTTGCGGGAAGTAACTCCTTTTAACTACTCCAGGTCAGGTCAGGATAATCGAGATCAATCTTGCTACTGGTATCACGTAACCCAGCACCACCTGCCACAAGCCCTGCTGCCTTTCAGAGTGTGCTCTTCTTATGCAAAGGCTAGGAGAAATAAACTCCGACTAAAAATTCCCCTGCCTTGGGGCTCTTGGTTGAGTAAAGGCTAGAGATTGTGTCTCGATAAAAACACTCATCTTGGGCAGATGTTAACTGCATCCAGCTAAACATCCCCTGCCTTGGGGCTCTTGGTTGAGTAAAGGCTAGAGATGGTATCTCGATAAAAATACTCATCTTGGGCAGATGTTAACTGCATCCAGCTACTGTCTTGTATAAGGCCTCCAAGGCAAAGACTTTAGGGGTAAGCAGAAAAATTCTGCTAACCAGCCTCGAACCCCTTCTTCATCTATTAGGCTGGCGTAGATGTAACCTGCGTTACATTGTTTCCTGCCTAGGATGATGAATGCTGGATCTCCTTGACTCTACTCATAGAATTTTGCTTATGCCTCTATGATAATGGCTATGCAACTCTTCCTGTTATCTCCATATGAGGGTACAGCTCTAAAACTCAGTTTAATGGTTCTGAGGCCGGCTGGTAGTAAGGTTTCCCGAACTCTGTGGTAGCTCTCAGAGAGGCTGATTCCATCAACAGCTGCAAAATATCAGAGTATTAACAGTGCCATGTTGCGCATGGATGGTGTCCCTGTTAATGCTTTTGGTGTGCATTGTCAAGGCCACATAAGGAGCCCTATGTCACGGCTTAGGGTTAATTAACAGGACTTAGACAACTGCATAGCTCATTGATTAAGAGGCTGTGCTCTATCTATGAATGAGTCAAGTTCTCAATAAACCCAAATCATGACTAAAGTAACCAAAAATTTAAAACCTAAAAAACCATCCCCACCACCTAAATATTTTAATATATCTTTTACAAATATTCGCGGTCTACAAAGCATTTTTCCATCAGTTGAGTCTTACCTCCTGCAAAATTCACCAGACTTGCTTGCACTCAGTGAAACAAATTTAAATTTTGCAATTCCTTCTTCAGATGTCAGTGTTGATGGCTACTATCCTTTGATTCGTAAAGACTCAAATAGTCACATGCTAGGTTTAGGGGTATACATACGCATTAATTCCCCTATTTGTCGTGAAATCAGGTTTGAATCCTTTGACCATTCTTTTATGTGCTTTCGCCTAGCACCTCTTCACTCTATCACCTTTCTCTTTGTTCTTTATTGTTCTCCTTCTTCCCATGATTGCACTCTCTTAGATGTTATCTCTGATCAAATTGACCATGCCCTCTCTCTTTACCCCTCTGCCAATATTGTTGTTGTTGGTGATTTTAATGCCCATCACACTGAATGGCTTGGCTCTAACACCACTGATCCTGCTGGCACTAAAGCCTTTAACTTCTGCGTTTCTCAATCTCTTACTCAAATAGTTAACTTTGTGACTCGTTTTCCTGACAACCCTAATCATTTACCTTCACTCCTTGACTTATGTCTTGTCTCTGACCCTAGCTTATGTTCAGTTTCTCCCTTTTCTCCCTTAGGTGGTTCTGACCATGCAATGATCTCTATAAATCTTTGTTCTCGTACTTCTTTTTTGGGCTCACCTTATCATCGCACCACCTACTACTACCCTAAAGCTGACTGGGATTCCTTTTGTGATTTTCTTCGTGATGGTCCTTGGGCTGATGTTTTTTCTCTCTCAGCTGACAAATGCGCCTCCTACGTAACTACCTGGATTCAGGCTGGAATGGAAGCTTTTATTCCTTCGCGTCAGTTTCAAGTCAAGCCTCATTCTACTCCATGGTTTTCTCCTTCTTGTGCGGCTGCTATATCCAATCGTAATCATTTTTTTCATCTTTTTCAAAAGAACAACTCTCTTGAGAACAAACGGCTATTTATTATTGCAAGAAATCGATGTAAAAAGGTGCTTTCTGATGCTAAACTCCATTATTCTCAGTTCACTAAATCTCGCATCTTATCGCAGAAGTTAGGCTCTAAAGACTTTTGGAAAATCTTCAACAGCATTATTAACTAGGGTAGATCTAGCATTCCATCACTCATTCATAGGACTGATCTTATTACCTCTCCCAAGGATAAGGCAGAACTATTTGCAAAGAACTTTTCTTCTAATTCCACTCTTGAATCTTATGGACATTCTCTTCCTTCCATTCCAGTCAAACAGGTTGACCCATTGTTAGACATTCAAATCACTCCGGCTTCTGTTGCTAAAGTCATATCTCAATTAAACTCGTCTACAGCTTGTGGTCCAGACAACATTCCTGTCACAGTCTTGCAGAATTGTTCTCCAGAACTTTCTTCAATTCTCTCTAAACTATTTAACAAGTGTTTGAATGAGTCTTGTTTTCCTGCTTGTTGGAAAATGGCATCTGTGGTTCCAATATTCAAAAACTCTGGAGAAAATTCTGACCCCTCCAATTATCGTCCGATCAGTCTTCTTTCTGTTATTAGCAAGGTCTTTGAGTCTTTGATCAACAAATTCCTCACATCTCATCTTGAGTCAAATAAACTACTGTCAGACAATCAATACGGTTTTCGATCCTCTCGCTCTACGGCTGACTTGCTAACTGCTGTAACTGAAAGATTTTATTGTGCATTAGATGGAGGCGGTGAGGCTAGGGCTATTGCTCTCGACATATCTAAAGCTTTCGACAAAGTTTGGCATGCTGGTCTTCTCCATAAGCTTGCTTCTTATGGTGTTTCTGGGAAAGTTTTTGAGATTATCAAATCATTTCTTTCTAACCGGTTTATTAAAGTCATCCTTGAAGGCCAACACTCTTCTTTGTTTCCAGTAACTTCTGGGGTTCCCCAAGGTTCCATCCTGGGCCCTGTTTTATTTCTTATCTACATAAACGATCTTCCTGATAACCTTTCATCTAAAGTAGCTCATTTTGCTGATGACTCAACTTTATACTCCTGTCTTGACAAAATTCCTATATTAATGAATGGCAATCCTCTTACTGAGTCCTCCTCTTTACGTCTTCTTGGATTATCCCTTACTACTAACCTTTCATGGAAACCATATATACAATCGATTGCTAAATTAGCTTCTGCTAAGGTTGCTTCTCTTTATCGTGCTCGCCATTTCCTTACTTCTGATTCCATTCTCTACCTCTACAAATCTCTTATTCGTCCCTGTATGGAATACTGTTGTCATATTTGGGCTGGTTCTTCTAACGATTCACTTTCTCTTCTTGACAAAGTCCAAAAACGCATTGTAAATGTTGTTGGACCTGGACTATCTGCTAAGCTTGAACCTCTTTCCCATCGTCGTAAAGTTGCATCTCTTTCTCTTTTCTACAAATACTATCATGGTCACTGCTCAAAGGAGTTATCATCTCTAGTTCCATCAACTAAAATTCATTCTCGTTTTACTCGTCATTCAGCTACGTCTCATTCGTTTACTGTATCTGTCCCTGCATGCTCTAAAAACTTTTATTCATCTAGTTTTTTTCCCCGCACTTCAATCTTTTGGAACTCTCTCCCATCTTCATGTTTTCCTGACTCATAAAACCTTCAACTTTTCAAGTCTTCTGTCAACCGTTTCCTTGCTCTATTCTTATAACTCTGTTCTTTTTTTTTTTCCTAGTAACTCCCAACTTAATAGTGGTTGCTTGCAGCCTTGTTGGGAGTGAATGCAAATAAAAAAAAAAAAAAAAAAAAAAAAAAAGTAGATAAGTATTATCTATTTACTATTATCAATTGATATCAAGTTATCAAGATAATAATTATCTACTTTCAGTTATCAGTTTTGCGTCATTGTAAAAACCGCTTTAGGCATATTTATCTTTTTAACAAATAACGCAAGTAAGCGCAATTATTGTGCAACTTGTATGAACATGATTTGATGCAAGTTTGTACAGGTACTTCAAATAAGGTCAAAATTTATTTTAGAGTGCTTTAGAAGCAAATAAATGAGACTAAGATCTATACAATAGAAAATAAAAACTTTGAAAAATAATGGACACCCTAAAATATACATTCATTTATACATGCATACATGCATGCATAAATGCTTGAATTTTATTGAAGTAATTCTAGACTTTTATCTATAACAAATGTCATGTGGATGTTGGCATTTCTAAGTAATGAGGGTGGTGATTTTTTTCAAGGTAATAGATTCACAAATATCTTAATAAATTTAAAACTAGTAGTAATCTTTAATCATAGTTTTCTTTGAACACAGTAATCTCTGATCCCAATCATTTGCTTTTAGTACCAAAATTGGATTATAGTATCTGCATATTACTTTTTAGAGACAAAAATATTAAGTTAAAAATTGGTTGATTCTTGTTAAATAATTCAAATTGATTTGTAATGCCCAAACTGATGGAAATTGTTTGATTACAATTTACAGCTGTTCGTTTATACAATAAAAGTCATTTATTTAAAAGTTTTTAAGGTTATTAATTGCAATTACACAAATTTAAGTGTCTTTTGATTTTTACTGATTTTGACTGATAATCTTAATGTTTAGATTCAAATATACATTTATTCAACGAAAAGCTTGAAGAGGTTATAAACCTGATGTTAGACAAAGAAAATAATCAAATCATTTTTAGTACATTGTAAGACATTACTTAGAACTTTTTTTTATGTGTATAATATTTTTTGGAACTAATGTGAACAGTTTTTATGATTTATAGATTTTATTCTTTTTACTTTGCAAATAAGTTGCTTTGTTATAGAAATATTATTTTTCAATTTTAGTTTTATTTTTAAATCTGATTATTTAAATCTCTTAATTTTAATTGCAAACATTTTAGTTATAAAAAAATTTAGTTTTTTTTTTTAGTTTTTATTAGATTGGACTAACTGATAAATATAAAATTATTGCACTCTAAATGATATTGATAAAATATAAAATTATTTATCTGATAAAAAATAAAATTACTACACTCTAAATTATTATCACAAGCAATTTTTTAACTTAATAAACAAATAGTGCGTGCAAAACCAAAAGCTCTCTTAGGAAGCTGTTTAGAGAAGCAGCTCGCATGACTCACCATGTACGTTTTAGGAGACCTTTTCTCTGCTCATAGTGTTTACAGTATTGTTAAACTCATTATAAGAAGACTTTGGTAATGGTATAGTGTTTACAGTATTGTTGAACTTGTTATAAGAAGACTTTGGTAATGGAACCTATGTATGGAATTCATTTACATATATATATATATATATATATATATATATATATATATATATATATATATATATATATATATATATATATATATATATATATATATATATAAATATATATATATATATATATGTATATATATATATATATATATATATATATATATATATATATATATATATATAGTGATTTTGCCGGTTATCCGGTTTTGCGGTTAACCGGATTTTGTTCGAATATCTATTTTCGAATAATAAAAACCGACTTAAAAATGTTACGAAATTTTATAGAAAGTAACATCATAATTATGACAATTATTGTTTGACAAATGTTAATTTATCAAAGAGTATAATATATTCCTTTTATTAATTTAAATGTTAATTTAATCAGTTTTGTTTGATAATATATTCTTAAGACAATTTACAATAGAAATCTCAAAGATTTATTTATTACTTTTAGCAATACATTTTTAAGAAAGTTTCTTCAGAATATTCTGGAACTCTAATTTGCTTATTCAGCATATTTTTTGAACCAATAGAATTTGTTTATTCGTAGATTTGGCGGTATTTTAGTGTTAGCAAATATTCTTTATATTATCTTTACTCAACAAGTTGTTTTGAGAACATTCAAGTATATCTAAATTTTAAAAGACATCATTAAAGAGTTTGAAATATAATTAAATTAAAACTTCTGTTATGGATATATATATTTATACACTTGACAACGAGGGTATCAATAATCCCTTGAAATATTGTATAAAAATTAATAGAAGTATAAAGAGTTACATCCATAATAGAAGTTTTAATTTAATGATGTTTATCTATGTTTTCATCTATGTCCGCATAACAATACACGCTAAAAAAATTTACTTCATAACATCTCATTTTTCCAAATCAAATGTTTTTATATGAAAGAATGATTTTAAAATATCAGCTGATATTAAAACATTTAAACTATACTTGTACATTATTCCTACCTTTTTTAGTTAAATAATTAAAAAAGTACATTATATTATAATATAAAAAAAATATATCTTTTTCCATGTTTTGTTATAAATATATAATATAGGACTGTATTCACTAACTGTCTTGAAAATGTACACTTTAACATTAATTTTAAAAAAATTAGTTTAAAACGCTACGTTCGTTGAAATTTAGAAGATCCTGTATTCAGAAAACGTCACTAATTAACCAAATAGTCGGTTAACCGCAAATTGATGAGAACTGTTATCCGGTTTTTGAAACGGATAACCGGCGAAATCACTATATATATATATATATATATATATATATATATATATATATATATATATATATATATATATATATATATATATATATATATACACACATATATATATATACACACATATATATATATATATATATATATGGGGGAGGTGGGGTATAACTGTCCCTGTAACGTTTGGAATAATGTTGTATGAAAATAAAAACAAAAAGTGTTTTTTATCACAAATAAAAAGTAAACAAAACAGGTTTAATTTTTCATTGAACAAATTTTTATGTTACGCACATTATTATTTACACATAATAATTTTATTTATATTGCAGGCTTGGTCGGGAAGCGGGAGCGATTGCTCTCAAATACTGACCACGGAGATTATATTTAGTTGCGTAAAACTGGCCAGGTTTTTTAGTCGTTTTGAGAACATTTAAGTTTATGTACGAAACAAAAAATTTTTGTTTTACGGACATACATGGAAACATAAAAAACTTGAATGTTCTCAAAACATCTTTGTGCGAAAGAATAAAAAAAATATTTGTGAACACTAAAAACCCGCCAAATTAATGAACAAACTAATTCTATTGGTTCAAAAAATACGCTGATTAAGCGAAATAAAGTTCTAGAGTATTGTTCACTATTTGTTACGTTTTGAGATTTCTAGCATTGTTTTAAGAATATATATTATTTGTTTACGAAAATAAATGTTTTAAATATATATTAATTAAATTGTTAAAATTTTAAAAGTTTATTATAAATCATAGATTTTATTAGTATATTCTTATTTTTTATTTTAAAAGAGATTGTATTCTTTATGTAAATGTAATTTTGTGTATTTGTTTTTTATCGTAATGTATCTTTTAAAGCAATTTTCATGATTTAAACAAAGACTTACACAAATAATTGCGTTTTCAATGAAGTTATAATCGTTAAAGTTAATAAAACTAATTATGTAACAAACATATAAGAAGTTTCTGGTTACTAAACACAAACAACGCATACAAAGTAACTCGCGGATGAACAAGCATTGCGCCTGAGGTCACGACAGAACAAAAATATATATAGCAAATAATTAGATATAAAAAAAAATTTCTAGATATTGGTTTACTAACTCTAATTATTTTCGCTTAAGTTGCCATTCCTAAAACTCTTTATACTTTTTTCTGCTTTAAATACTAATTAAAATTAAAAAGCCCACTCACTAAACATCATCAGCGATATTGTGAAGCAGTTTCGCTTCCTGGTCATTCATTTTTAACCTTTTTAGTCGATTTCTATCTTGATAATTTAATTCCTATAGTAATTCAATGATTTAATTATTTCATTTGTTTATCTTACTAAGAAGAATCGCTTCAAATATGTTAAACTTTTCAAACTACGCGAAACATAAATTAGGTATTAAAAAAATTAACTTTTTTATTTATAAAATAATTTAGTTTAAGTAAAATTAAAACTTGCAAATTTAGTTAAATAAAGAATATTTGTTTCCCTTTTAAACAATCGTAAGTTGTTACTTTATATAAAAAACATCGCTTAATTTTATAAAAAAAATTGTAAAAGAGCGATATTTGTTCTAAATGTAATTTATTTAGCTTTACGTTTTTTCGCGTTTAAAGATATTTTATTTGCCTATTTTATTTATTATTATTATTTTTTTGTAATTGTCTCTCATCGGTCCAACGAATCTGTGTCACTTTTTTTTTTTTGCCTTTTTAAAATGTTCTTAAAACGGCTAAAAAATCTGGCCAGCTTTTCGCTTGGTCAGCAATCGAGAGCGATTGCTCCCGCTTCCTGACCAAGCCTGATATTGCAGTATTCTTATAAAGCGAATTTATATTTTTTGATTGATTTAAATAAAAAGTAATTGTAATAAATATAACTATTATATCATATTATTATATCATTTTGTTTAATAGAAATAAAGAAAAATTATTGTTAAATAAAATTAAACTAAAAAACTATTAAACTGTTTTCAATTGGTGTTCAGTAAGATGACGTATTAAAAAATGTTTTGATAACTGAAAGTGAAAGTATTAAGATTCTTTATAAATTTCATTATAATGAATAGATAAGTAATAGCTAAGTGAAGATTTGTTAACACAAAAAATAATTAAGAATTTCAGCCCACAAATGTATCAATAAAAAAGTTTATAGAAGAAAATTATTTTTACAAGTATTTAACCCCAAGTATTTTAACAGATTAAAATTAGTTTTCCTAGAATACTTTTGATACAGTTTCATACAAGAGAAGTATTCTAACATTTTATTCAATTTCTTATAATTTAATGATAAAATGTTTAAATATGTATTTTAAAAGTATGTTTTTTAAAATTAGTTAAAACACAAAAATTACTCTGCTTGTAAGTACAGCTGAGTGCATCAATATAATATGTATTGTTTTTTGTTTTTTTTTTAGAAATATTTTGTATGCTGTCTCCTTAGACCTTAAAATAATTAAGGTTAATATTAATTTGAGTTTATGTTTTGTTTGTGTTTATTTGTAATATTATGTTTAAAAAAATTTATATATGTTCTTATAATAGTTTATAAAGATATATATATTTTTTATTGTTTATAATTTTTTTTAAATTAGAAGCAATCTATGCCAAATGACCCAGATCCTTTAAAAACTGATAGAGTAACTTCAATGATATCTGATTCAAACCTCTTGATCACTTGTGCATCTAATAAATATTATAGCCGATGTTGGAGATTTAATGTACTTATTTTGTATTTTAAAACAAAAAGTGTTGCTATATTATTTTCTACTATTTTGTTTTATGAAAAAAAGGAGCAAATTTAATGTACTTTTTTTGTATTTAAAAACAAAAAGTGTTGCTATATTATTCTCTACTATTTTGTTTTGTAAATCATCTATACTATTCTTATATTATAAAGCTTTTTTATTTTTAGAAATTTAATTTAACATTGGATTCTGCATGGTCAGATTATGGAGAAAAACTTGCACCTGCATACAAGTCAGGGGAATTAAACAAAATGATATTGACAAGTAAAAAAAAAAAAAACTAATTTGTTTTTTAAAATTTATTTATATTTGAATATACTAAAAATGTTAATAATTTATTTAACAGTTATATTTATTTTTTTATTTTTTTTGTTATTTTTTATAAAGTTAATATTTAAGTTTAAATTTTCAAATAAAATCTAAAACAATGTAAGAAAATATAAATTGAGTAATAAGTTCCAATTTCAATTTATGGTGTGTGGTTTTCAACTTTTCAAATTCCCAGCATTACATTGCAATTTACTATATCTAGAACCATTTATTTTCTCAACTGGTATGCACAGTGCATCTTCTGCAATATCTAAGTTTAAATATCCTGATGTTGATGACAGTGACACAGCTCGTATAAAAACAGTACCATCACAAATTTCAGGTAAGTTACATCGTCAGAAAAAGTTTGAATAAATTTAGTTATTAATTTGAACTCCCAAACTTAATATATATACTGAATATAGTTAGAATTTATTTTTAAATCATTAATTTAAAAAAAATTTAAAAAATAATTAAAAAAGAAATTAATTTTAATTTGATAGGATTTTTTAAAAACCTTAAATTTTTCAACATAAATTTGTTAAAATTAAGACTGTTTCAGTTTTATGAGAGAAATAAGATAAGGTGCACCTTGTTGTCTAATTCACTATAATCAAGTAAGAGTAAAATATGTTAAGTTTTAAATCTATTTACAAGCCTTCTCAGGAAAGGTGTGCAGTTTTTTGTCTTGTATGACCACGCCAGAGTATTTTATTTTAGACAACTTGATCATGACCATTTGCAAGTTTTATAATATTAATCATGGCAGAAAAAGTTTTCAAAACAAAAAAAGCATAACTAACAAAATAGGAAATAAAAAGAAATTAATAATTTAAATAATTTATGTGCTGTTTTATTTTTGATTCTTTAGTGTGGTTATTACATTCAGTAACAAAATTTGGTAAGGCGAAGTAAAAAAAAAAAGTTTTAAGCCTACAATAAAAAGAATGATTTTTTCTTTAACTTTTTTTAAAGAGGAAAGCGAAAATATAAATTGCAATGTATTTGTAAAATATATTTATATAACAACAAGAGTTGAATTAAGCGATCACGAAATGTAAAATCTGGAAAAATATCTAGTCTTCAAAATTTTAGTATACAAAAACATGTTCTTTGTTTTTAAAGGGCGAATCAACTTTAATTTGTTAGCAAAAAAGTTATAAAAAATAAAAAAATAAACTTACTAATACAAAAGTAATAACACTCTAGTGACTAACTGCATTCTAAAAGTAAAAATGCAAACAAAAACAGTACACAAATTGTTTAAATTCTTGTTATTATTATTTTCTATTTAAGTTTACTTTAAATTCCTATTTCGTTATTTTATTTTTAAAACTTTTGTCAGCAACTAGGGGTGGTAAACGATTAATCGATTAAAAATCATTAATCATTAATCGATTAATTAACAAACGATTAATCGATTAATTTTTTTTTTGATATAACAACTTTGTGTTATTTTGTTCCAAAGATTTTTACGAACATTTGCAAGCGTTTTTTTAACAAACAAGACTTGTGTTGACTTTTATGCGGCATCTGGTCAAATATAATTATAAACAAACAAAAACAATGCTTTTTTATAGTGCGACTGCTTGACCACCATTTACAATGTCGTTTGGAAAAAACCTCTCTGAAGTTTGGAAACATTTTTTATTGGAAAATAAAGACAAATCAACATACAAGTGCAAACATTGCTTAGTCGAACTTAAATTCCATTCATCAACTTCAAGTTTCTTGTATCATTTAGAGCACAAACATAAAAATTTTTTGAAAATGTTCTTTCAAAAAAAAGTTCTTTCAGAGAAGTCTAAAAATATACAGCCAAGTATTGCTGCTTGTTGTAATAATATAGGTAGCTGAGCTGAGGATGTATTAGCTCGTTTAACTGCTGTTGATTGTATCCCTTTTGCAACTTTGGCCAATAGCAAAGATATTAAAAATGGCTGGAAAGCTCAAGGACTTAAAATCCCTTATGATCAACATGCTATAAAGACAATTGTTATAAACTACGCAAACTCAATGAAGTTAAAAGTTGTTCAAAAACTTCAGCATTTATTTAATTAAAATTAAAAGGAGAAAGGTTTTCAATTTCTCTTGATGAGTGGACTTCTGGTAAAACTAGAAGGTATTTATGTCTTAATGTACATTGTTCAGACAAATGTCACTATGGTCTTGGAATGATTAGAATAAAAGGTTTGTTGCTTTCAGAAAGAGCTGTTAATATTGTTATTGAATAATTAAATGACTTTGGCTTAAATTTGATCAATTATATTTTTGGATGTGTTACTGACGATGCATTAGTAATGAAAACAATAGGACGAGAAATGGGGGTTACACACCAACTTTGCTACTGCCATGGAATTCATCTTGCTGTATGTGATATTCTTTATAAGAAAAAATGCTTAGAAATAGAAACAACTCAAGAAAAAAAAATTAGTGATGAGAATGAAAATGAAACATCTGATTCCATCCCTGATGATGCAATCGACACTGTAGAATGCTGGAATGAGGAAAGTATTAGCTCTGTTTCACAGGAAATCCAGTTTAATGAGGACTATGGCATTATTATATTGAAGGTTTGTAAAATAGTCAAACTTTTAAGAAAATCTCCACTTAAAAACGATTCCCTTCAAAATATTTGTAGAACAGATTTAGGCAAATAACTTAAGCCTATTTTGGATACTAAAACAAGATGGAATTCTTTAATAGTATGTTAAAACGATTCTTAAAGTTAAAAAATGTTTTGTGATTTATTTTTACTATATTTTTAAAGTAATTTATTTTTACTCGTAAAACTTTAAAAGTCGTTTACTTTTTCTTGTATATTTTTTTGTTCCAAAAGCACATTATTAAAAATTTTATCAAAACTAGAATTAAAAAATGTCGCATAAACAAAAAAATTTATTCTTTGTGGCTGGTGAGCCCCGACTTTTTCCAATGTACGCCACAACGACAAAACGAACATTAGGCTATCCCGCTGGATGTGGTTACGGCGATCAATAACCTAATGACTACGCTGACACTCACGCACACGTTCAGTCGGAAGCTCCACAATGCATGTCGGATCAGCGCTCGTTGACTATGTGCTCGGATCTAAAATCTCACTCCATAGTACATCATTCCACACCAGCACGGGGCAGTAGCTCTTTTGGCTAAGAGTGATGGCTTGTGGCCTACGGTGACTAATGTGTGCATTCGATCAATTGAAATCCATTCTGTAGGTCTCACGTCTGGCTCTGATGTGCTAGCCCATAAGCGCAAGGAGTGAGTGTGTTTAGCTTTCTATTCACCCGATTTGAAAGTGAACGAAGGCATAACAAGACCATACTAGACGACCAAACGGTACATACTAATGCACTACACCATCACACCTGTAGACATCAACGGCCTCTAAAACCAGTATATCAAATATTTGTTCTTTATTATATACTTTTGTTCATAATCTTATTTTACCTTATCCTTGTATATTTATTCAGATTTGTGTTATGTGTGATGAGGCCGTATATTTGTGAGAAGTATAACAGCGCGAAAATTTTACACAAAAGTACGTATTAGCGTATTTTTTATAACAAATGTATTCTTGGTTGGAATATACTGAACAATTTTATTAGATAAGTTTAGACTAATCACGATTTCGTTAGGTTTTTTTGTTTCTATCTAATTTTCTCGATTTGACGTCGCTAAGTTAGTTTGTTGTGGTTTGCACTATACAGTCTTCACTAACGTTCCTTTGGTCGTTTTGTCAACAATATTGTTTTTTAACGTTACATTTTTTAGTGGTTATAAGCTATTAGTTTAAAATCGCATATATTGTTTTATCTTTTTATTTCCTCATTACTTTCTGCTTACTGATTTGATGTTCGTATATTTTTTTATCTCTGGCTAATCGTTATTTAATTACTCTGAGTCTGTTTTGTGTGATAGCTATTGTCTCTACTTACCAGGCAAGATTTATATGAGAACATACTATTTAGAGTTATATATTTTTTATCATACTTTTGTTTAACTACTTTCGTACTAACCACAAAACATCTTAACTTAATATCAATGCTTATGAGTGGTATTTACTTATATTTATAATACATATTTCAGCCATAAAAGAAACGGTAAGTTACTATTAATTATTAATTACTATTTTCTATTCGTCTTTTTTTTTTTTTTTATTTCTACACATTATAATTGTTTATTTACACACGCGCATATGTACATGTGTACAAGTTTGTTTCTTCTAATGTAAGGGTACCTCATATTTATATGTGTTCACATATCTGTTTTTGGTCACACCACGCGCATTCCTCACCACCCTCACGAGATCTCTAAGAATGTTGGAGCTGTTTTCAAAAACTGCGATAGGGATTGGTTTTTTGGCTTTTGTAGTGTAGTCCTATTATATTGCAATATTGACTAGCATGACGTAGAGTGCAGGCGGTGAGATCTGTTGCAAGGACACGCCCCTGACGAGTGGCGTTAGTGCAGGCCTCGGGCTCTCCGAAACGTCATTGGTGATCGCAGTGCATTCCTGAGGAGGGGGATCACCATTTATCCACTACTTAATTCTAATTGGTTATTATGGCACCAACATTTTTTTACCTCCTTAACCCATGTATTTTTGCGCTTAATGAGCTTTTTATTATGAATTTGTTACACTTACGACATTTATATATTTTTTATGTTACACAGGTGATTATCAATTATCAATTTTTTATCTAGAGTTTAGAACATATATAGTACCACATTTATTAGACATTTGTATGGTGCGATTATTTTAGTTATTAATACCATTATAAACCAGCGGATTTTTATTGACTTGTTTACTCATAGATCATTATTTCATCATTTGTTTAAAGACGACTAGAGTGTGAGTTTTTATTCCCCTTTTCCTGAGTTGCTTACTTTTACTCTTCCAACTAAATAGTCTTTGCATTAATTTATGTTTTTTTACCTATATGACATCATCTTCAATCTGTTTTTATTTTCACATCTCCCAGGTCTACGTAACTGGACGGCTCCGTTGGTCACTTTTTGCGTTCATTGTGTCGCATAAACAAAAATGTTATTGCAAGGCTCTTGTTGATATATCTAGAACAGATTTAATTTTAAAAGAAGAAAAAATAAAACACATTTCTGATATTGTTCAGGCTCTACATCTTGTAGAGTTAAGTGTTATGAAACTAGGAAAAAGAAACCGTGATCTGATAAAATCTGATAAAATTATTTTGTTTTTACTACAAAACCTTAAAAAACAAAATACTAAGATTGGTCAAAATTTATTTACTGTTGTCTCGGAGAAAATTGTCGAAAGAAGAAATTGCAATATTGCTGGTTTACTGTGCTTTTTAAATAATC